ATATGTTCCTAGCTATATAATATATTATTATTAAATTATATTACAAAAGTGGGGAAGAATAAATCTTTTGAATTACAAAAAGCAGGGAAGAATAAATCTTCCGTATTACAAAAAGCAGAGAATAATAAATCTTCCGTATTATAAAAATCCAGGGAAAAATAAATCTTTCGTATATAAAAGCAGGGAAGTATAATCTTCCATATTACAAAAGCGGGGAAGTATAAATCTTCCGTAATATAAAGCAGGGACATAAACACAGTGAGATATAGACAATGAGATAAAGTCAGTAGGATATACTAATAAAATTACATGTTGTATTATATGCTTTATATTTGACCTTTCATGCTGATAGTGAACTCTTGGGTGGAGACTACTCCATAAATCCAGAGTCTTATATTGGGATTCATTTCTCACCCCGTCGTGGGATTGTAATTTAAATTACAGGTACATCAGCAGCAAGGAAACTCGCAAAGGGTAAGTGACCAGTTCATTTAGGATACGGGACTCTACAAGAGTGGTAACGTAGCTGTTTTGAATGTCTGTGTAGACATGTTTTGTTAGTGCATGAAGTATATCAGCATGCATGTATATAGTTGATTACCTTTTTGAGAGACATGTGTTTGCCTATGTGTGTATTATCTAGGCATGTAGTTTGATGTTGTATTGGCACATAGCCATTTTCAGTATATATATGTTGGATATACTATTATGTATTTCAGGAACAGGTTAAAATAATGGGATTTAATCCCTGGTATAGTCCGATTTACAGCCGTTATGCTGTCCGTTTGACTCTATATGAATGACATAAATTATCATATCTGAATAGATATTGTTCATTGATTGATCTTTTGGAATTAAATTTGGAATTTGTACAGGTATGAGACTGTAGAGATAATTTTGATAAATAATAGAAGTTAATTGGAAAGAAAAAGTTATATAGCAAAATTAAATAGGGTAATTAGAAATTTTATTAAGTCTTCCGCTACTTTAATCTAGTTATGTGCGAATAGTATGACCATATGTTAGTTAACCATCCGATTATTAAATTTGGGGTTACATTATATGTGTTATTAACCTTGGAGTTCAAGTTCGGGCTTTTAGTGGAGTAGCACTGAATCAGATAATCATTAGTTTATTATCAAAAGCCTTGATTAATAACAGCTAGTAGATCCCTAGGCTAGCTCGAGATAAGGGATGAAGCAATTTCAGTTGGTGATGACTAGTGAGTTACATGGTCTTGGGCTTTGGGCTTAAGTTTGTACTCAATAGCAAGCGAAAGATTGTTGGATTTTGCTCTTTCACTAAAGCCCAATAGGCCCCAGTGTATAAGAAAAGTCCAAGAAACCTAGAGCCCGTTCAACTTAGGGTTAGGGTTTCTTGGAACTCATATATTCTACACTTATAGTCAATAGCCTAAGAGGTCTTCACTTGGTGGTTGCAGAGGCTGAGGTAAGGTCATCTCTGTGATAGTAAGAGAGTGCCCACACACCAGCTTTATTCCCCGGTGAGAGAAAATCTAGAAGATCTACCACTAGCCAGAGTCAAGGAGTTTGTTTGTTTAGACAAGAGTAGTTTGTGAAGAGGAATCAAACACGAGGAGATACTGCATAGATCTGCGCAACAAGAGGTAAACATAAAATGATGATGATCTGTCGCATCCCAAACCGCAATGGTCTAAGTTCTTTCGCAGATCCAATCCAACAAGAGCATCAGTTAGGTTTGTATTACAAAAAATCGTTCTCTAATAAGATTGCTCACCCACTAAAGAATTAAATTATAGGGGAACTAATCACTTACTTTATTTTTTTTGACTAGTTCGGTTCACTTCATAATTGATTTTTTTTGGAGTTAACCCAACCCTAATTACCTCTGTGAGGCGAGTTGGCTCCTTCGGTATCCCCACAAGCTTCGACTCTTTGAGTCATCTATGAGACTAATCCAGAGTGCGGGACGGGTCAGGAATAGAGATATTTAAATGCCTACCAAAGGTGGCATGTGGGGATCAAACCGAAGCTCTTTAGTTTCTACTTACGCAATTCCCTTGCTATCAACTGAACTACCATAATTTGGTATACTTCGTAATCGATAAAAGCCTTATTATATTTGGGAATTGAGTTTGAGAAGGTGAGTGACATCAAAGATGCATGCGTTGTTGATTATCTTATTGTTAAAAATCAAAGAACTCTATAGAATAGTAATTCATTTTTATTTCTTCTACCTCAATAGAGGTCATTATATACAAAGTACTAGAGTTACAAATCAGACATAAATCAGGCTACAAATCAGCCATAAATCAAGGAAGAAAATTACAAATAATCAGGAAATTAAAACTCCTAAAATCTTTCCACATAATTCCTACAATCACTCCATGTAACGGATTCCCTTTAATTGCTACATAAATTGGTCAATCAAATCAGAAATTAAATCTTTCTAATTATAAAAAAATATACAACTCAACACTTACATTATTTAATTATTTTATTTTTGTTCTAAGAGAAACTTGCTTCATTGTTGATTTTTTTTAAAATGGTGCATGTGCCAATATTTTCGTAGTTAAGAAATTGTTGGTTGAATGGTTAAATTTGCTAGTGATAAGATACACATTTGTTTTGTTTGTGTTCTAAGATTAATCTATTGCTGATCTCGTTAGCTAACGTATGTCATTGAATCATAAATGTCTCAGAATTCTACTGTTCTATAAATTTGTTGTGAGTGAACGAATCATAGAAGTTTTCACTTTCGTTCTTTATTTATTATGGTTTTTAGAATTTCTCTCCAATTTTTTTTCAAAAATAATTGTTAACATAACTCTGAGTCCCATACCAGTTTGATATAAATTAATATTTAAGGAAAAGTCACATAACTACTTGTGAATACATATTTATCTGACACAATGGTGTAACTATAATTTATGTACTTAGAAGATAAATGTAGGCAAAGTTATTCTATTTTATTGCTGATAGATCTGGTACATAGCATTTAACAAGCGAAATTCTACTATGCTCAAACACAGTACTTATATAGGGATTTTATTGTAGAGGATCTAGTGAAGTCGGCAAAAGAAGTACTTAGGAGGTCCCAAGTAAAGACTGGCTTCTATGATAAGAAAAATAATGTTCTAACCACGGTTTACTTTAAGGTAAGATAACATATTTTATCTTTTTAGGTTGCATTCAGTTTAAAACAATTTAGTAAGCTATTTGCATAAAATATGAATGTTATTATTGCTAATTATTCAAGACTTTAAAAAAACAGAAATATAAGTGTCATGTTACATGACACATCATGTGTTATGCCATAGACATAAAAAAAATGTAGATCCCATTAAAAAAATAAAAATAAAGATGTGGGACTTATATTTTTTTATGTCTATGGCATGACACAATATGTGTCATATAATATAATACTTATATTTCCCTTAAAAAAATACAAATAAAGTTCAAATTTCATTCAAATGCATTTTTAATGTTTTATTAAATACACGTTTTTTTTTTTTGGAAATATTCCAATCGGTTCATCGCTTCGCAACTAATTCGATTCGGGGCGGATCCAGGATTAAAGTTTTAAACCCCTCCCAAAGGTGGTACTGGGAGGATTCGAACACATACTCTCTCCCCACCTGCTCAGCTCTCATGCGTCAACTGATCTACTACCATTTGGTTAATTACACATTTTTTTGAATATGCCGCATGCTAAGGGAGGTGCATGGAACTCCATTTTTCTATGTCAATATATTCTTTTTCGGAGCTGTTGTTGACTACCACACTTGTTGGAAGGTCATTGACCCATTAATTGGTGCATATTTTGTGGATGTATAGGTCGGATATTGATGATAGGGGTGGCACACAACATTTTATGACCCGTGGGTTGACTCTAGACATATTACATTAGATTGTGTACGGATTTGGTTAATTACAAGAATTAATATCTGTCATGTCATAGACTAACCAGTGTGTTAGCTGGCAAAATTTATATTTCAAAAAAAATATAAAAAGTTGAACTTTTGGTAATTTTGACACAATGCATTGCAGCTCAGTGAGGTCACGGATCTAGCTGCATATTTTATGGTTTTCCCCTTTTATTTTTAATTTTTTATAAAAAATTAAATTTTATTTTTTGTAAATCAACCTTATGACACATGACCTGTAGCAAGTTATATACGAGTTTCAATTTTCGACCAATGGATAAAAACTGATCATGTTTGGATTGGACAATTTGATTCGAGTGTCAGATCTTAACATGACACGAATTTGACTCGCTATACATTTGTTATCTCTAAGTGAATAACAATAAGTGATGAATCTGAATGTCTCTGCTTGTGTGAACAATTGAATCCTGTTATTTATATGGATTTAATATCTCTCGTACTATAGGAAATAAAATTATCTTTTATATATACATAAAAATATGTGTGATCCATTTTTTTTTCTTCTCTTTTCTCTTCATATGACCTCACATAAACTCTACACATTTTTATGTGTGTGCATATAAGAAACATCAAACCCTATTTATATTTACTAAAACACGTGTTTATTATCAAGAGGCAGGATCATTTGACACCGGTGTCAAATTTGAAGTTTGACACCTCATCTGAGAGCTGTTAGATCAAAAAAGATCAACGACTCTTATTTGTAAACATGTGACACAATTGATCTTTTTTTATCTAATAGCTCTTAAATGAGGTGTCAAACTGATATCAAAGGATCCTACCTCTATTATCAAAATATAAGGATGATTGCATAAATTTACATTGTTATACACTTTGAAATATTCAGACGAGTTTGTGCAACTATTTTTTCCCCCTCTTGAAATATTCAGCGGAGTTACTTATTGGGTAGAGTTTCATGTTGGGTGGCCCATGCACGAATTGGGCCTAGGTGAGGCCCATTGAGTGGAAGTATGGGCATGAGGTGTAATGTGACAAGGTGAGTGGACTCGGAAAAGGAGTTGGTTAGGGCAGTTTGGAGAGTGTGTATATAAAGTGTAACACATCACGAAAATGAGGTTAGGGCGTAATAGAAAAAACAAGCCGTTGAAGAGGGCTCGCTCTTTTTGTTGGGAAAGGAAGCTCTATCCTTACGAATCGTGGTGAGTCGCAGATTGAATCTTGCCCTAGTTTTCATTCATCAAACCTCTCTTTTTATTTTCTTCTTTTTTTATTTTATTTTATTTTATTTTGGTTGTTTTGTTTGTCTCCTTCCAGTGGAATTCTCTTTCTGGAATTTATTCGGTTTTTGTGGTATTTTTTTGTATTTATATGATGTTTATTGGTGTAGATGGATCGGTACCAAAAGGTGGAGAAGCCAAGAGCAGAAACGCCAATCGATGAAAACGAGATCCGGATTACTAGTCAGGGGAGGATGCGGAACTACATTACTTACGCCATGACCTTGCTTCAGGTATCGTTTTATGGGATATTTATTTATTTTTGAAATTTTGAGTAAGCGTTAATTCGAACTTGCAGAATGTTTTAAACTGATTTGTTGCGTTTTATTAACTGTGGTATGTTAATTATTCTACTTACGGGCTGAAACTCTGAACATGATCTAGACCTCTCTTTTTTTTGCTCTATATTTGGTTATGTTATGTGGAAATTTGTATGTTTTGGATTGTGGAGGGAATAGGAAGGGATTGTGTGGTAGGTAGCTTACCTTACCCTACATTGTTTGTACTTTTTCTTTTAAATTTAAAACCGGGTCCAGAAAGGTAACTAGTAACTTTATTATGACAAATATACTTATGATTAATGTGAAGGTTAGATCCTGTAAATATAATCTAAAGAATGTGACAGCTCCCTTCTTCTTTTCCCGTTCTCCCAAAATATGTTATGTTTTAATTGAATAGTGGTTTTTTTTCTCCCAATCATGTGCTGCTGTTTACAAAATGAAATACCTGAAGGGGAGGAGTGTAGGGGTGTCCTAAAGAACCAAAAAACTGAACTGTGAACTGAACTTAAAAAAAAAAACTGGTTTTTAAAAACTAGTTCTTGAACTGAACTACTTTTTAAAAATCAGTTCTTGAACTGAATTGGTTTATGAACCGAACTGGTTTTTAAAACTAGTTTAAAAACCGAATTGGTTTAGAAAACCATGAACTGAATTGCTTTTTTTTTTTTGCTCTTATTTTTTATATATTTTTTCTCTCTATTTTTCTTGCTTATTTATTTTGTTCATTCTTTTATCTTTATTTTTATTACTTTATTTCTTTAGTTATTTATTTTTATTTTTCTTTTCTTTTATTTTTCTCTTATTTTTACTTTATTTTAATTTTCTTATTAATTGTTTATTGCTTCTTCTTTTTTTTCAAATTTGTGGTATTATTTATATTTATATATTTTTTTTCTTCAATATTTTCATACTTTTCATATGGTTTCAAAACTGGTTCAAAAATCAATTTTAGGGGTGTGCTAAAAAATCACAAAAAATGCTTCACTTAAAAAATTAATTTTTAAAAATCAGTTCTTGAACTAAACTATTTTTAAAAACTAGTTCTTGAACCGAAAACCTATTTATGAATCGAACCAGTTTTTTTCCTCTTCTTTTCATTTATTTTTCCTTTTCCCCCTGTATTTCTCTTTTCTTATTTATTTATTTATTGTCTTCTTCTTTTTCATTATTTTTATTTCTTTATTTACTTAGTTTTTTATTGAGTAAACACCCTTTTTAGTCCCTGGCAATATCTACGAAGTCCTTTTCAGTCCCTAGCAATAAAAAAGGACCAAATTGGTCCCTGAAAGTACAAGAAAAGGGCCACTCTACATAGTTGGGAGTTGACATAAGGACTAACATGGCCCTTTTTTTGTAATTGCAGGGACCAATTTGGTCCTTTTTTATTGCCAGGGACTAAAAAGGACTTCGTAGATATTGACAGGGACTAAAAATGGTGTTTACTCTTTTTTATTCTATTTTTATCTCTTTTCTCTTATGTATTTTTATTTCTTATTTATTTTTATTTTTAAATATTTATTTATTTTTTTTAAATTTTCAGTATCATTTATATATATTTTTTTATATTTTTCCTTCAATCTTTTTGTTATTTTTATTTGGATTCAAAATTGATTTTAAAAATCAATTTAGAACTGGTTCTAAACTGAACTGAACTGGTTATGAATCAGTTCAGAATTGAACTACACTAAACTAATAAAATAATTCACTTCTAAGAATTGAATTGTTTTTTCCAATTCAGTTCGGTTCGGCAAAGAAACCAAAAGTTTGAGTCGCAAAGTTTTTTTCTTTTGTTTTTTTATTTCCTGAATTTTGAATTAAGATAAAGATTCTCAATTTTCTGTGCTAATCTGTATGAAGTAGTGGAAAGTTTTAGTCGCAAAGTTTTTTTCTTTTTTTCCTGAATTCTGAATTAAGATAAAGATTCTCGATTTTCTGTGCTATCTGTAAGCTCATTTTATCTTGCTTATTTCTTCACAGGAAAAAGGTTCCAATGAAATTGTTTTCAAAGCAATGGGAAGAGCTATCAACAAAACCGTAACAATTGTGGAGTTGATCAAGGTTCATTTAGCTGACACATAATCTAGGTACTTTGATTCATTCTGATGAGGATTTCATTTCATGTGTTTTTCTTTGGTGGTGATAATGCAGAGGAGAATTGTCGGTCTCCACCAGAATACAGCAATTGGATCCACTGACATCACTGATACTTGGGAGCCCCTAGAGGAGGGCCTTCTTCCGTAAAAGCCGTTTCAGAATAATGGAATTTTAAAACTAAATGATTAAAGTGTTTAACATTTCAATTAGTTGTCAGCTGGTGCTTAATTCTCACATTTTATTTTTTACTCATCCTTGCAGTTTGGAGACAAAAAGGCATGTGTCAATAATAACCATAACCCTTTCTATAAATGAACTTGATACATCATCTGTGGGGTAAGTTGGTGTTCTTTCTTTCTGATGTCATCTCACAAAATTGTCATAAATTCTGACTTACAAGATGGAGTTGTGGTGGTTATATGCAAAACAATATATTGGAGGTGCATTACTATGGTGATACCTAGTTTTGTTTGACAGACATGGAGTATGCAGAGTGGTTTTAGCTTTTAAATTGAATATTCAAAGTATTGTTTTCATAGCACTGATATAAGTTGTCATATATAATATATTATATATTCATACTATCTATTATAGTATATTAGTGTTGAGAATGCTGTGAAATCAGAGATGTTGGTGAATATTTTGTTTAAATTGGAAGGAATTCTGAACCAATGCTCACTATTCTACAATTTCTCTCAAATGGAAGGTTTATTACTTTGATTACAGTACATCCAAATGATGCTTTCCCTTACCATTTGGAGAAGAAAGTGGGTATTCCATTTATGTTGCTAAAGTTTTATAAATGAAAAATGTAAGAAGGTTGTGATATGAAATAGACAGATATTATATCTTCCTAAACACAATCTTCTTGTTTTTCAGTTCCCTCACTAAGATCCCTCCTTTTATATTAGTATGCATTGAATATTATATCAAATTAAATAATGATGTGAAAATCTTGGATAATTATATGATGATAATAGAACAGGGTAATTGTGGAAGATAAACTCAAATGGAGAAAATAAAGGGAACTTTGGCTTAGGCAAGATGGACTGATTATATGCACTTCTAGAGTATATAGACTGATTATAGCACTTCTTTAGCTGGTTCCAAAATTTTAGGCATCAATATTTATGTAAATTGTATATTATTATGAACAATGAGGATTTGTTAGGGACTCTTTAATTTATTGTGTCTTTTTAGGTATCAGTCTCCGTTACCCGCTGATCAGGTGAAGGCTTCTACAGATTTTGATTATGGAGGTAGGTACATGATGGAACCAGAAAAATACAATATTGAATTCATTAACAATGGAGGCATAGCCTCTTTTTACATACACTAACACAATATTAAATGCAGAAAATAAACCCCAAGAAACCTCAACTCCCACTCAAACCAAATACCTAGGCTCAAGAGTTCCCTAGAGATCTCTCAATTTCCCCACTAAACAATTTTGAATACATGCATAACAGAAACATCACCCTAAACTTCTATATATACTAATTCTAAAATACTAATGGGCTTGGATTATTTATTATAACCCCATTAATACTCCCCCTCCAAACTCACCTTGTCCCCAAGGTGAGAAAAGAGGATGGGTGATGGGAGAAAACACCCACTCGGATCCCATTGTTTAAAGCCTCTTGACCACATTAGCTTTCGTGAACGATTTGAGGTAAGTCCCACCATACTGTGGATAATGAGTTGGACTGATTTCTCTTCGCGTTCAACGTTCCCTTCTCCGAATGTTGCCATTTCAGCATCTTCAGATAACGGGTCTCCATTTTCCAACAACATCGCTTGCAAGGATGGATTTTGGCAGCCATGGTTAAGCAAAAAAGGTCCCTCGAACCTCAAGCAGAGGTTCCTTCGCCGTTCTTCGTTTATCTCCTCCGGCGACAGCTGCCTGAAGCTCGTTCCACGCTCATCCCCGTCTGCAAAGTTACCCATGACAGTGCCTTGCACTGACCCCTGCCCCTCACTTCCTTTAGTTGAAACCAGCTTATGTGTAGGATTTATTTCATTGGGCCATAAGAGAGGCCCAACTCTCTTATTTTTCCTTACTGAGCTGGACCCAAGTGTAATATCATTAAACCCAACTCGCAATTTTGATCCAGCAATCCCACTTTGCCCTCCTGTTTGGGCTGTTATTCTTGATCCATTTCTCGCTGGCCCACTGCGTTCATCCACATTATTGTTATCGGGCCTGGTTTCTGAATAATTAGTGGCCCTTTTAGGCAAAGTTTTGCCTGAATGCAGCCCCTTACCATGCCCAAGCCCCCACGTGACTCTCTTCGTCAACACCATCTTCTCCCTCACCAATTCCCTTTCTTCGATTGTTTGAGCCAGTGTCATTGTCTTCCCAAGGTCTGTCAGAGCATGGACACTCCTTCCATCCCGAACTTCTTCCTTTTCTGTAGACACATCCTTTTCTTCACATTTCTCTGCCACTTACACCCACAACTTCGTTCTTCCCAAATCTGCCATAGCTTCTGCGTTGTTACCTTTATATCGTTCTCTTGCGTTTTCAGCTTGGGCGTCGTCGTCTTCATCTGATTTTCGATCTGCTTCTTCTTCGTTTCCACCCTCTTCCGCTCCTTCGTTTTCTTCTTTTTCAACCTCTGTTTCCTCTTCTTTTTCTGCAATCGCTGAATCTACTTCTTTTTGGTTGATTTTGTCTTCTGCTCCTTTGGTTACTTCTTCTTCATCTTCTATTTCTTCTATTTTTTCTGATCTGGTATCTGCGGCTTCTTTTCCTGAGCTTAGATCTGCTCTTTCTCCTTCTTCTTGCGTTTCTTCCTCCACTGCTGCTTCTTTTTCTTCTTTGTCTACCACATAAATCTCAGGTAGATATTTATTTATAAATGCTCTGGTGAAATCCCACAATTTTGCATTAGGATTGAGACAATTCCAACACCTATACCAGTAGAGCGCGCATCCTCTAAGCCCACTCAGAGTTTCTTCCAATTGTTCATCTTCTTCATTTATTTGCTTTTCTTGAAAATGTTGTTCCATATCAATTTGCCATCCCCAAGCATCGTCTCCCTCTCCATAAAATGTTGGAACCATTGTATCAGATCTGGATTTGTTGCTCGATTTCTTTTTCCTTTTTTCTTTTTTTTTTTCTATCAGATCTTGGATATTTTTTTTTTTATATATCAGATCTGGTCAGAAACACCCCTTAGATCGGACGCGCTCTGATACCAAATTGATGGAACCAGAAAAATACAATACTGAATTCGTTAACAATGGAGGCATAGCCTCTTTTTACATACACTAACACAATATTAAACGCAGAAAATAAACCCCAAGAAAACCTCAACTCCCCCTCAAACCAAATACCTAGGCTCAAGAGTTCCCTTGAGATCTCTCAATTTCCCCACTAAACAATTTTGAATACATGCATAACAGAAACATCACCCTAAACTTCTATATATACTAATTCTAAAATACTAACGGGCTTGGATTATTTATTATAGGCCCATCAGTACACGTAACAATTGTTGCTCTTTCTCTCCACCCATGAATAATTTCTATCAGTTTTAACTTTTGTGTTTTTACAGAGGGTTCACCTAATGGCCATGTTCGGGGTCGTGGTGGTCGAGGCAGGGGAAAGGTCAGAGGTACATGTGTGCATTGTTTCATTACTATGATGCATGTTATGCTTATCAGGCATTCGTTGTCTCTAGGATAAATTAACTGTGATTGATGGAGTCCTTTAATTGAGTCCATTACTCCATTAGATAGTTTCCTCATCTTCATGTTACACTTTTAATGTTAAACTAATGCCATTGAAGTTATGGTGATCACTTTTGAGGAAATTTTCTCATAGGGCTGTTCAGAAATGTGAATGTTTGTAGATCTTCAATTATTGAATTGATTTTTTAATAGGTTTATAACTTATGATGTCCACAAGCCTTGTTATCACCTTAAGTTTTGACAAGGCATCTTATCATAATTTTTTTTTTTAAAATAATACTTTTAAGGCATCTGACCCAATGGTGATGCTATTTTTTGATATGGCTGTTGTATTTTCTGTCAGGGAATGGTTTTATTTCAGCTGAATACGAGGATGGTGGTTGGGAACAAAATGGGGGAAATGCTAGGGGCAGGGGGGGTAGAGGAAGAGGACGTGGCTTCCGTGGTCGTGGAAGGGGAGGATACAACGGGCCCCATGTTGATATGCAGCAAGATGGAGGATATAACCAGGATTTATCTCTAGGCCATGGTACTTGTTTCCTATTGTTTTCTTTTTATTAAAACTGTGCGGTAGATGCACATGTGCGTTGGCTACCAGTATTGGGCGCTCAGTTTTTTCCACAATATTCTGAAAGTGGTTAAGATAAGATGGTTGTGTTTGATAGGAATCAACCAAGGAAAATATAAGAATTAAGAAGAGAACAGTATGAGTCTTGCATTAACAACCCTGAAAAAAGTACCATTACATATGACTGTAATACAAACAGAGACAGATTACAAGTAATGAAGAACCAACACATAAAGATAAAAGAAATCAAAGATATTCTTGAGCAATTCGAGAGGCTCAGGGATCTCTCCCAATATCCAAAAGGATCCCAATTCTTCCCAAAGATGATTCCTCTCCCAGCACCACTTTCTTTTGTAACAGCCACATAGTCTTCATGCTGCCCACGCTGCCTAGCACATTTTCTCCCCATTCTGTTAGTAATTATCCAATGGCACAATTTATGAATATTCCATCCTAACTGCCTCATTGCTGACTTAGCCCAATTGCTTTTTCTAAATTGACCTTAATGGGGTATTGTATCAATACTCCCCCTCTCCCCCCCTTTTTTTAAGCACCTTGTCCTCAAGGTGCAGGTTATCCAAAAAAAAACCCTCCTCTTGGATCTCACTGTTTGAATTGTATCCATACTCAAATTGGATCCCGTACCTTTTCTTCAATTTTCCTAGAAAACAAGTCAGCAACCATACTCATAGCCCATTTGTTCCACTTAGATACATCTACCTTCTCAACAAACAAGTAAAAGAATTCAGCATCAGCCTGGCAACCAACCAAGAAGGAGACCCCTTCTATTACCTGGAGTAAATATAGAAGCTTGGATCTCAATAAGTCTATTTACTGCTTGATTTTCACTATCATGATCAAGAGAAAGAAAGTTGTAACTAATTAAGTTTTCTGTTTTCTCATCAACCTTATTTTTAGTCTCCAAAATATCACGATAAACCCATATCTACTTTCGTTCAGGCATAACCATGGAGTCTCCATACTGTTGCTTACCTTGCCTTACCTTTGATCGACTATGGACAAGATAAAGAGGGTTATTTAGCTTGCTTACCAAATGCACTACTTTGGTGTGATCATGGACTCCAACTCACCTTCGATCCCAACATGGAAAACCCCTTCGAATAACTGACCACCCCTTAGTCGCACCTCCATGCATCCTAACGGTTCCTCCGACCACCATTTAATAGCGGTGGCAGCAATTCCCCACCTGGAGTAGGCATAATTCGTGCCCCACGTCGTTTCCTGCAGCTGTCTCCAACATAAATCAAGATGAGGGTTTGCAATTTGGAAGAAGAATGGACTGATGGGTCTCTGATTAACTCAATGGGCCTGCTTGCATTTCCATGTTCTTGGATGGTCCAATCCAACATGCTTAAACAGTGACGATATTTTTTTATCTCACTTAACTCAGGCATTTTCAAGGACTTACAAGCCCAATCCCTATATAACCAGAGATGCCATTCCCTTTTAATTTGGTCGGAAATACCCTGCCATTAATTTGGACCGGGTCTATAACTTGACCCAATTTCAACCTAGATCCGATTCGTTTCCCTTCTTCTCCTTCACGCATTCGTAATCTTCCTCCATGTTTATTGTTGCGTTGTGGGTCTCTTCCCAATCCATACCTATTTCGCTTCTCCTTTTTCGATTCTTTACACGCTTGTGGCCATTTTCTTTTTTAATTGCAGTGCGCAGAATCTTCCATCCTCATAGATAAAATCAAATCTGACAAACCTGGTGACGGTGTTGCATCAACGACCACTGCTGGTGGAGATGGTGTTAGTGGTTCTTGCACACCTAGAGCCTTCTCTTCTATGGTCTCTTTCCCCATATCTGTCGCCTGCTTTCGCTGAAGCTGTTTCTGCTTACGCCTTTGTTCATGTTCTTTCTCGGGTGTCTCTTCTTTGGGATTTTGCTGCTGCTCCTTATCCATGGTTTCTAGTGAACATTGAACATCCTCTTTTCCTTAATTGTATTTTTTTTGTGCATATTGCATTTGTGGGCTTATTTACAACCACAATTTTGTCCTTCGCCTGAGGTTTGATCGACTCGTTCTCCATCCTTCTTGTATGTGACCGTCCTCTAGAGTGACTTTTGGTCTTCTGAAGAAGTTCATCAAGGAGTCTGATTATCCCTATGATTTCTTCAATTTGCCTCTTTCTTTTCTTCCACTCTACAAATTTGTTTTCTAGTTGCCTCTCACTTTTCTTCCATTCTTTCTTTTTCTTCTTTTTTTTCTTCTTTTTTTCTTTCCTAGTTTCAATGCTCCTGGGTCAGGAGCTCTGATACAACTAATAGGAATCAACCAAGGAAAATATGAGAATTAAGAAGAGAACAATATGAGTCTTGCATTAAAAACCCTGAAAAAGTACCATTACATATGATTGTAATACAAACAGAGACAGATTACAAGTAATGAAGAACCAACGCATAAAGATAAAAGAAATCAAAGATATTCCTGAGGAATTCGAGAGGCTTAGGGGTCTCTCCCAATATCCAAAAGGATCCCAATACTTCCCAAAGATGATTCCTCTCCAAATACCACTTTCTTTTATAACAGCCACATAGTCTTCACGTTGCCCACACTGCCTAGCACATTTTCTCCCCATTCTGTTAGTAATTGACTAATTGTCCAATGTCAGGAGCTCTGATACAACTAATAGGAATCAACCAAGGAAAATATGAGAATTAAGAAGAGAACAATATGAGTCTTGCATTAAAAACCCTGAAAAAGTACCATTACATATGATTGTAATACAAACAGAGACAGATTACAAGTAATGAAGAACCAACGCATAAAGATAAAAGAAATCAAAGATATTCCTGAGGAATTCGAGAGGCTTAGGGGTCTCTCCCAATATCCAAAAGGATCCCAATACTTCCCAAAGATGATTCCTCTCCAAATACCACTTTCTTTTATAACAGCCACATAGTCTTCACGTTGCCCACACTGCCTAGCATATTTTCTCCCCATTCTGTTAGTAATTGACTAATTGTCCAATGGCACAATTTATGAATATTCCATCCTAACTGACTCATTCCTGACTCAGCCCAATTGCTTTTCCTAAATTGACCTTAAGTGGGTATCATATCAGTGTCTTATGGCTCTTACCGTACCATCTTTATTTTGTTTCACATCGAATATTGTATTTGTGCCTTTCACCATCTTGAGATTTTTCCCCCAATACTTAAACACTATATTTAAGCTTTGCTATTGGCTGTTTTTTTAAAACCTATTGTCATTGTGATGTGTTTGATAGTCATTTTTGTTCATACTCTATGGATAAACTGAAATTGAGTACTTATGATTGAGTCTCTGACAAATAATCTTATTGGTATTAAGTTACTGCCGTGTGATCACGGACCAGACCTTAGGAAGTTTACTTAATGATGGACAAAATTGTAACATAGGAGAAGATAAGCTTTTTTATTTTTACTAAATGCTATTAAATTTTGTTGTAGGTCGTGGCCGTGGCAGGGGGGGATATCGTGGAAGGGGTCGTGGCTTTAGATCCAATGGGCTGATCCAAGCAGCTGCCTGAGGCAACTAGTGGGCCGCCTTTTGTGCAGTGCACATGACTTGTAATGCCTTGTCTAATTTTATGTTCTCTCTTTGCTTTATTTCTTCAATTTTCTCCATTTCCCCCATTCTTCCTTGAACTGTAGGGCATTTTCTTCTTATAGTTTCTGTAGACTTTTAGCTTGAGAGTGCTGCCACATAAGGCAGCTACTTCATGTTTTAGGCCTAGGTCAGATCGTGAACAGTTGTTCTCATGTTTTGGCCCTGAATCTCATTCTTTAATTTTATTTTCTAGAGATGTGTTTTTGAATTTATACCTTTTCACTGTTCCTTTTCTGGCAGCGTCTTTTTTTTTTTGTTCAGTGAAAAAGACTAGCTTCAGTAGAATTCCTGGTTTGATTTAGTTTGATACTGTTTTCCTTGAGCATAGATGCTTCAATTTTGGCGACTCGATAAATTTCTCAATGATATAGTGATAATGTTGCGCTTAAATAAAATGTGATATGTAAAACTCATGATTTTAATTCCATCATTTTCCTCGAGCAGGGACACAAGCCGTTGTGGGCTGTTCACGATGTCCTCAAAGATGTTGTGCTTTATGTCCTTAGAATCAATAGAAATAAGTTTCTAGTTTGGTTGTTAACATTCGTTACTTTCCTGCGCTTTATTACCAATAAGATTTACGTGTAAATGCTCTTTTGCATTATTTACAAAATCTGCATTACTAATCCTTTGTGTATCTTGGTGTTTCTAACCATCCACTTTTTTTTGATTCACCCCCTTATTTATGTTAATACACGTATGCTACTTAATACAAACGGTAGTGAAAACTCAATAAGGTTGCTCTTTTGACCCCGCTTCAAGACAGGATAACTAATCACCAAATTTTGGGATAGACGGATTCTTACGATAAGAGCTTTTTCCTACTGATACATGGAACTATATGTGTTAAATTTATTTTTATTTTTTATTATTTTTTAAAAACAATGGTCCCACCATTTTTTTTTCAACAGGATAGAGATATTTCACTTAACATTCGTTACTTTCCTGCGCTTTATTACCAACAAGATTTACGAACTAATTTAAGAAATATTGCGATTTGATAATTATAAATTAAAATAATATTAAATTACAATTGTATTGTGTGGTTCAGAAAGTAAATGCATTTCAATTTCAGGATTCGTGTTCCGCTTGCTATTTTGAAAAACTAATTATGGGTTCGAGATAATAACAAACAAGTTTTCAACAGAATCCTCTGGTCAAATTAAAAAGAAGAAGAAAAGAAACCACCATTAAAAAAGAAAAAGAAACAAAGAGCTATAAAAAGAAAAGAAATAAAGAGCTCAAGTGAAGTGTTACGTTCAATGAGTGAAGAAATACTCCATTAACTACCAAAAGAAAAAGAAAGAAACAATGGTAAAAAGTATGAATAAAATGCGACGGTGCTATGAAAATTTCTATCAGGTAATTTTTGGCTGCAATGTTACGAATATGATCCAAATTAAATAAATTCTAAAAGCTGGTTTTAAAATTTGTTGTATAGCTTCTTTTTTCTTTTAAAGCCCTAAGCCTATCTTATTCAAAGTAAAAAAAGAGGGAGAGAGAGAGAAAGAAAAGAGCATCCTGCATTTGAAGAAAGAGAGGCTGTCAACTATGTGAAGAACTATTCTAGGTTGTATTTAATTCTGTTTAACATGTGTTGTATAAACTCCAACAGACATAAAGTAATCAGTAAAAGTCCTTTGGTGAGCTTCCTTAATATTTTCATACTTTCCGTTTGGGTTTAAATTAGTTCAAAAATCAATTATTAGGGTATGCCAAAGAACTAAAAGAAACTGAACTGCACTTCACCTAAAAAATTAGTTTTTAAAAATGAATTCATGAATCGATCTTTTTTTTTTTATTTTTTATCTTCTCTTCTCTTCTTTTATTTCTCTTTTCCCTCTTTTTCTCTCTCTTTATACTCTTATTTATTTAGTATGTTATTAATATTTTTATTACTTTATTTATTTAATTTTTAATTTTTTTTTCTTGTCTTTTATTTTTTTCTCTTATGTATTTTTTTCTTATTTATATGTATATTTACTTTACTTTACTTTTTTATTTTTAATTGTTTATTGCTTTTTTTAGAAGTAAATTTAGTATCATTTATATTTATTTTTCATCCTTTTTTCTTAATCTTTTTATTTGGATTTAGAACTGGTTTTAAAAATCAGTTTGAATTTGTTCATAACCACTTCTGAAAACTAGTTCACCGAACAAAATTGTTTTTTCCAGTTTAGTTTAGTTCGGCAAAGAAAACACTGAATTGAACTATACACACCCCTATACATAATGAAGGAATCCTCACTGACAGTAGCATGATAAGAAGCTCATATATATATATATATATATATATATATATATATATATATATATATATATATATATATATATATCAATCAGTCACTAAGGGTGTGTATGACAATATTCTCGGAATGAGTTTTTTTTTTAAATTTCTGTTCCTGGGAATAAAAATGGATAGGAGACTCGTTTGGAAAAACTGGTATATTTTTTAATTTCTGGGATGAACCGGTTTAACTTTTGTGCTGAAAAACAAAAAAAAAGAATTAAAAAATTTCTGCTTTTTTATTCCCAAGCACAATGAGAAACATTTGTCTCTCTCAATCACTTTTCACCACTACCATCATTACTACCACTATCACCATCATCCTGACATGATCACCGCCACCATTGTCACCGCCGTCGTCACCACCACCACCACCATCACCATGACCTCCACCCATTACCACCACCGCCACCATCACTACCACCATGATATAATGACCCTAATTATGTGATCTTAAGTTTGAGGGTAATCATGAGGACCTTATAGTCATAAATAGAATGAGAAAGAAATTCTAAGAATTTTGATACCCATATTGAGGGTATTATGCTCAGATGAATTTTCATCTGTTAATTTTGACTGCTGACGTAATAACAGTCAGTAGAATAGCTCCAAATTAGAAAATTATATTTAGAGAGCTAATCTAACGACATAAACATCCTGAATGAGGTTAGGATATGATTTGATGAAGATTGATACCCATATTGGGGTATTTTTCAAAAGTCACTTCTGCCGGATATTTTGTACTGTTGTAGCAGCATCCGGTAGAATCCCGGAACGGGGAAAAGATAAGAAAATGGAAATAAAGACCAATATATGCCTAACAAGTCATAATTAGACCAAAAATGTTAAAGTTAGAGTCTTGGGTGTTTCAGGGTAGAAATTTGATAACCGTTCAGAGAAAAATTACACCGGGTGTCATTAAATGACAGAAAGTCACTTAATGACATGACGAAAATCCTAAAAATATAAGAAGACTCTTTCCCTTCCCTTCCCATCAGCAGCCCACTTCACTCTCTCTACCTTGGAGGTTTTCAAATTTTCTCCACCTTCTCTCTAAGATCCCACCACCTAAACTTCATTAAAATCCAAAACACTCTTCACCAAAGTTATTTCCCTCATCATCCTCTTCAATAATATCCTATTTTTATTTTGAAAAGCCAAAATTTTGTGGTGGAAACCTTCCCATACAGCAGTAATTTTGGAGCTTCTTCATGCCATGGATATGTTATTTGGAGTTCTCTTTGAAGAACACTCCTTGGTGCTTGTTTTCTTGAGTCTAGTGTAAGTTCCTTACATTTTCTTCTTGAAAAACCCTACCTTTTTTCTTTTAAATTCATGTTCTTAGTTCTAAATCCTTGAATATTTCATGAAGGTGGTTTCTTGGTGAAAAAGAAGCATTTTTGGTAAGTAAAGGTTGGATCTTGATCTAAAAGAGCCATCTTGGAGAGGTAAGGCTTGAATCCATGGAAAAGATGAATCCAAACCTTTCTTCCTCCCACTTTCCATTTCGTCTATAATGATTATATGTTGATAATGATGTTGTAAATTATTAAAAATAGGGTCTTGATGGTTAAATGTGTGGTAGAGGTTTAAAACTCAAGAAAGATGAAGACTTGTAAGAAAAAGTGTCACATTTGGCTTGTGTGTGAGTTGTTCTTGATGTGGATGAACTAAGAACCTTAAAAACTCCATGCTTTGATTCGGCCCTCTTCATTAATATTAGGGTTTAGGGTTAAAATTAATAAAGGACTTACTTAAACCATGAAAGTGTGTTAAAAAGACAAGTAAAAACCTTAATCTTATGACTATGCAATTCAGCCATATGGATATATATTAGGGTTTGATGTCTTAAAATGGTTCTAAGAATTAATTAGGACACTAATGGAGGGACCAAGTGAGGTGGATTAAGCATAATTGATTAATTAAATCTTAAACACATTTAAGGCTAAGTAACCAGTTTTTTAGGCAAAATTGGGGAGAGCATATCTCCCTCCACATAGGTCATATAGGTCTGTTACTTATATCAAATTAAATCTTGAGATGTTAGCTATGTGGTGTCAAAATTTGGTATCAATTGAAGATGTATTCCATTCTGTATGTTCGTTTGAGTGAGGACTACACAGGGAGGCCATGTGCAGGGGCGCTGTACATGGCTGCAACTTCCACGAATTGTTTCTCCCTCTTTAATTACTCAAATTAGGCTAATAATATGTCTAATTAAAGATAAAGGTGTCTAGTTGTCTACATAAAAATTTGAGAGAAATTGGTTTAGTATATTTTCCAGAATCGCAGTAATGGTAAAGGATGTTTAGGGCTCTGTTCGGAGTTGGCAAACAGCTTTGCTTGTCCAACTTCAAATGGTGATAACCGGAGCTAGGAAACTCCAAATGAGGCATGTGATACCTTGTTAGAAATTTAATTGAGTCTATATTAAGATACTAAAAGATGAGAATTTTATAACAAGTAAGTTGCGCTCAGTGACTAGAAAACAGAAGCATGTACAGTTATGAGAAAACCGTAAAAGTGATATTTAAGCTAAGTGGGCTTAGGGGAACCCTTAGTAACTTATAATAATCATAAATATGGCTTGGATGAGTTGAAAATAATCTAAGTTACGTAAGTGAGCCTTGCATGTGATTCTAAGTTATGTAATTAATTGAAGATTTAGGTGGCTTGTTATAATGCACTAAAATACGTAATGATGTAATAATTGGTCTAGACTTGTAATGGGCATATTATTGGCATATGAGTATGAAAAGTGAAATCATTAAATGATTAAGTCGTGGATATGACTTGATTAATTAATATGTAATTAATGATGTGAATGGTTCCTACTCTAGGTGTGCCTAGAGAACCGTACACTTGAGGATTTTGTTGGAGCATACGTATACTATTAGAGTGTGGGCTTGTGCTAAGCTCCCTGAGGTAAGCTCCTGGTTCTGGTTGCTCCTCTCTCTTGTGGCCCCACCATGATGGTGGACATTATGGTTG